CAACTGGATACTCGATCAGATTCTGCTCTAATTGTCGAGACGCAATCGAACTCCTTTCATTCAAACCCTGCATAAAAGCTTGTATTGCCCAGTCATCCGAGGCCGATGGTAATTCCATTCGCTCCATCTAAAACCTAGACACGAACTCCCTCAACATCTCGTCGTTCCTCTGTTTTATCTTGAAAATGTCCGATTTCCTCGTCTCCACCTTTATGGCCCCGGCGTGTGCTTTCACGAAGGCGTCTACTAACATAGTAAACGAATCGATAAAGTTCGGGGGCAAGTTTTGGTACCAAATCATGGCCCCTTTCGACAAAGTTTCCCCAAATTTTTTCAACAATACTGACTCGATCTCATCATTCAGGTCGTTTCCCTTAATCCCACAAGTATATGAGGTAAAATGTTCATTAGGGTCAGTTGTCCCGTTATATTTGGGTATATCGGGCATGCGAAACTTTTTAGGAATGGGCATCGGAGCCGCGCTCTGAGGGAATGGTTTTTGTATGAACTTTTTGGCATCTAAACCTTTCAAGACAGGAGGTGCCCTCGGTATTTGGTCAAAACAGGAGTTATAAGTTTCCACCTTTTTGTCATTGTCTTCAATCTTCTTTTCCCCGAACTTGATCCTCTTGGTGAGCTCTTCGAGCATTCTCATAATGGTGGGATCAGTCCCCGTGCCATTTTTTGTTTGACCTCTTTGGCGCCGGTTCAGCACGTCGAGTGTTTTCTGGATCGGCTATACTCGGAGTTTTATTCTAACTCTGAAGTTGAGCAATGGCAATCTGCTAAGCTTGCAGCATCTCGAATATAACTTGGAGGCTGACTCCCCCATCTCCTATACCTTGTGTTCCTGTACCCCCAGATCGGGCCTCCCTGCGTACACTTCCTCCGGGGTTTGCGCCTAAATCTGCATCCAAAGCAATGTGCGAAGTAACATCAACTGGTTCCACATTTGTCACTTCCCCGGGGTTTATCGGTGGTACACCGACCCCTACATTGTTGTTTTTCCCATGAAATCCAAGACCTTCGTTGTCATAAACAGGTGCGTTTTGCGAGTTTGACATGTTTAATCTTGAGAATCAAAAAATTCTTGACAAGAAAAAGTGTAAAAAATAACGTGTGTTATGAGAATCAGTAATGAAATAATCACTATTATCTTTAGCCCCACGGTGGGCGCCAAACTGTTTACCTCGAAAATACGAGTAACAATTAAATTTGATTTGTGGTTTTAAAGATCTGTGATTTAGTTCAATACCAATTAGTGATCAAGAAGTATAACGTATAAATGAAAGAAATGAACGAATCAAACCAGTGTTACTAAGCAGTATCGACCTCGAGCCCAGTAACCTCGAGGTGGATCAAGAACAGCAAAGCAAGAGTAATAAAGCTAAAGGATAATTCTGATGAACAATGAGCGAGAAAAGTAAGAGAGTATATTCTTTACCAATGATTAGATGATCCTTACAAATGATTGGGGTCCCCTTTATGTTTAGAAAGGCATCATTATTAGTTGTCCTCAACAAATCAAAGCCAGTTGTCCCCATTTGGTTGATAGTTGGTTGCGATTATACCTAATTGACTCCAAAGGTTTTGGGCGATAGGGCACTTAAGGAAAATATGAACAATTGTTTCCGGCTCCTTGCGGCACATTGTGCATTAGTCATTAATATTCATACCTAAACGAGCTAGGTAGCTTCTACAAGGTAGCCTATTGTGGTAGCAAAGTCATAGAAAATATTTAATTTTATTAGGACAATGAAGTTTCTATATCCGATTAAAATTCATTGTTGTAGGCAAATCCTTTTCAATCAGCCCATAGCAAGATTTTGTAGTAAAGGATCCATCTTCATTAATGTCCAATATAAGAGTATCTTTGGTACTGTTTGGGGATAAAAAGATAGAGGTAATCCTTTGGAGTATCTCAGTAGGAATATTGAAGGAGATTTTACTAAGGTTCCATTTATTGTCAGTTCTAATATTTCTGATTGTGAGGGTCGACTCTTGCTTAGTTAGGGGGCCTATCACAAAACTTCTAAGGTTGTTAGAATTAGGGATCCACTTTTTTTCCCAGATATTAAGTGAAGAAGTGTTATGAATAGTCCATGTTATACCATGCTGACATATTGACCACCCCTTAACAATGCTTTTCCGGATGAAGGAGCCATTATGACTAGGCTTAGTAGTGTATTTTTTTATTAAAAGGTTTGCCACAGATTCAACGCATTATTGGCTAACCTCCATGCTAGGCTGGGTAGAAGGACTTTATTTTCAGAACTAGCTTTCTTTAGACCCAACCCACCCCGTTCCTTTTTCTTTGTGACAACATCCCAACTAATTATATGTAATTTCTTTTTAGAATCATTTGTGCCTCACAAGAAGTTTCTTTGAATTTGATCAATTATTTTTATTAGTTTGGAGGGTAATAGGGTATATTGCATATAATAGGCTGGTTGGCTAGATAGGGTCGACGAAATTAGGATAGCTCTACCGGCTAAATTAAGTTATTAGTTTTCCAGCCTGAAAGCTTTGCTCTCATGTTGTCAATAATAATATGGTGGTAGTTCTTGTGACTAGGATTACCATCAATTATTGGGAATCCTAGATATCTGCCAAAAGATTTGTGACATTTGATGCCTAGGTAAGAGGAGATATCTAATTAATTTCATTATCTAGCAGGGGTTTATCTAAATCTAACAAGTCTATGCTTTCAAAAATAGTAGGACTTTGTTTAATGCTATTCCAATTAGTTACCTCATGGTTAGTAGTAAACATAGCCGTAAATAGGCAAGTGTGTAATCTAATAGGTCTTTTTGATTATCGATCTAATTTCCTAGATCATTCTTAAAGAAACTAATGTGGTTTTGTCTTTTCTATTAGAAGCTGAGATGTGGTAAAATCTTGTATTTGCATCATCTTCATTGACCCAATTAATACGAGATTTGGACTGTTGTTTTATGTCACTTCCCCAGGATTTATCGGTGGTACACCGACCTTTACATTGTTATTTTTTCCATGAAATCCAAGAACTTCGTTGTCATGAACATATGCGTTTTGCGAGTTTGACATGTTTAATCCTGAGAATCAAAAAATTCTTGACAAGAAAAAGTGTAAAAAATAACGTGTGTTATGAGAATCAGTAATGAAATAATCACTATTATCTTTAGTCCCACGGTGGGCACCAAACCGTTTACCTCGAAAATACGAGTAACAATTAAATTTGATTTGTGGTTTTAAAGATATGTGATTTAGTTCAATACCAATTAGTGATCAAGAAGTATAACGTATAAATGAAAGAAATGAATGAATCAAACCAGTGTTACTAAGCAGTATCGACCTCGAGCCCAGTGACCTCGAGATGGATCAAGAACAGTAAAGCAAGAATAATAAAGCTAAAGGACAATTCTGATGAATAATGAGCGAGAAAAGTAAGAGAGTATATTCTTTGCCAATGATTAGATGATCCTTACAAATGATTGGGGTCCCCTTTATATAATAGGGGAACCCTAAATAAGGTACATTTCTATTCACAGTAAAGAATCTTATTGGGTCAACTGTCTAACCGCCTAGTACGGATTCGTATAAATTTATTCCGGGATTTACGTCATGATTTTGGGGACATGGCAGGAATCTTGCTCATTCTGTTACAAATTTGCAACGGCATTATCTCAGAGTTGAGCACACTCGGCTTTGATACTCATCACACTTCGATCCTCGGACATTGCACTCTGTCTTCGAGCTCGAGTCTGGTCCATCGAGCTTGAACTCGACCTTGCCTGAACTTGGGCTTGTGGCGATCCCTCGAGCCCAGGAAATCGGGCATACCTGATTTCGACTGTATACATCTTCCTACTTAATGGTTAATTTTTTGCTTTATTCGATCTAATAACCCATCGACTCATTGTGATATGTTCGAATTTCACAAACCATTATTCTAAGAAACTTAATTAAAGAAAAATGTTACCGAAAAGTCATCGTATTCCCTCCATTACGTTTTATAAATATGAAATTTTAATTTGGAGTACTAGAGTCAAACAACTTAATTCTTAGTGTTAATTTAGATATAAATTATTCGAATTTTTGAAAATTTATATATTTATAACTACATAAATAGTGTTGTAAATCATAAAAGATAATAATATAGTACTCCTTCCGATCCACTTTAAGTGATTTTTTGGCCTTTTTTTATGGTCCACAATATTTGATAGATATCAAGAAGGAATTAACTTCTTCTTTCCAAAATTGCGCTTGGAGTAAAAGGGTAAGAGTAATTTGTTATATTTCCAATGAGCAAATTAAGGTTAATATGGTCAATTTTATTATTAATTAATGCAAACAGTAAATCTCTTAATATGTGTGAAAAGAGAAAAAAAAAATCACTTAAAATGGATCGGAGGGATTAAAAGATACTATATAATTATTGAAGAAAATTGTGATTAATGAAGAAGAAAAAAAAAAAAAAAAAAAAAGGACAGTTCCTTAACCTCTCCCGCGCATGGGACGGAAATCAGACTAGTCAAAAATCAAAAGATGCTATCTATGGAGGAAACACCGTTTCTTCTCCTCAAGCAATCCAATCAGTTTAAGCTACCTTAATATGGCCGAATCGCCGGCACGTGACTCTAACCTTCATTTGAAAGCGAGAGCACGGCCAGCTAGCTAGTTCCCCTCTTCTCCTCTCTGTGTGAACTATATATTGGAACCAGCAGTACGTAATTCACTGCAAGAAAAGTCCACTCTTATAGCTGTATTCACTAATCTTGAAAATACCCAGAACACAAGTAGCTTATTACTTAATTAAGCGTACGAAATACATAGTACTTTATATGTTTATACTACGAAATGCCAATAACGTAATACATATGTGTTTAGCGTTTACATATATACACACGCAATCTTTTCCATTTATGTCAGTGATCAAAAGTTGAAAAATGAGAACAGAGTCTCAAATTCTCCTGCTTCAAGTCTCTCTAGTGTTGCTTTTCTGTAAGTTGTTTTCTATGTTATTTGATTCGTCATTGTTCAATGCTTGATTAGATGTTGGATTGTTTAATTAAGGAGGAAATTATCTTGATGTAATGTAAAAGAATTGTACTTCATGAGAATTTAAGCCAGTCTAACCTTTCTGGAGTCATCAGCCATACTTTTTTAAATGAGGTTTTCTCTAAACCAAGATGAGTTCTGCAAACATATTGTTGGGCTAAAACGGTCCAAAGATGCTCTTAACATGGTGTGATATTATCCGCTTTGGGCCAAGCCCGCACGGTTTTCCCCAAAAAAACCTCACACCATTAAAGGTATCCAACTCCTTATAAGTAACTTCTTTTTCTTTTCTACTTTACATGTGACACTTTGTTCGCACACACCCAACACATATTTTCTGCCACTTGGGAAGGAGGTGGCAGAATGAGTTGTAGGCAGGTCTAAGCATTTGTTCATAATTAAGCATGTTGTTTTTTTAAGACGCCAATGATGACCTTCCTGATGGAAACCAACACCTTGATGTGCATCACTAATTAAATTCACAGCCTTTTGGATTTCCATTAGCTATGATATATTTCTTCTCATTGATGTTCAATCATTTATGCCATCTCTATGAACTATGTCTCAGTTTCAGGAATTCATGGATATTTGTGCACGCAAGATAGTGATATTCCGGCCTCTGATTTGTTGAGGACAACTAATAATGATGCCTCTCCAATCATCTCTCCTGGCATTGCTCCAGAATCTATGTTTCCTTTGCAAGCACCTTCACCATTGATGCCATTTACATATACTGGTGTGCCAAAGTTATCAGGTATGGAACATATAGACTGACAATACCTCATAGGGATTGTTTACTACAAAACTCCAGTGAGTTGATATAAGCTGGTCACTGATGAATGGTGCTGTTTTTAACTTTCAGGACATTGTGCATTCAATTTTTCAGCTGCAGACACTATTTTGAGAACAACAGCAACTGATTGCTGGACTTCACTTGCTCCATATCTTGCTAATGTGATATGTTGTCCTCAATTTGGTGCCAGCCTAGTGGTTCTTGTAGGGCAGGCTAGTATTCAATCACAAAGCCTCGCGCTGAACGCGACTCATGCTAGGCACTGCCTTTCGGATGTTGAACAGATTCTTGAAAGTCAAGGTGCTAGTGAGAAGCTTCTTGAGATTTGTTCAGTCGATCCCTCCAACCTTACAGAATCCTCTTGTCCTGTTATAGATGTTAACGAAGTGGAAAACAGTTTAAATACATCAGGTTTGGTGGCTGCTTGTGAAAAAATAGATCCAACTATTGAGTGCTGCAACCAAGTTTGCCAAAATGCTATATCTGCTGCAGCTGAAACTTTAGCTATCAGGCATAAAAATGTGACAAGCTTCAGTGGCTCCCCTATCTTGCCTGAGAAATCAACTCTTATAAGTGACTGTAAGAGCATTGTATTGCGATGGCTGGCCAGCAAATTTGATCCTTCTTCAGCTAATAGAATTATCAGAGCGCTTTCAAGCTGTGACATAAACAAATGTAAGTCAAATATTAAATTGGATGAAACTGTTGAGAACTTGGAAACTTTAGAATTTTGCCTCTTTAAAACACCTTTTCAAATCATAAGGAACTAGAAGCTACATGTTGAACATCAAATCTGCATAATTTGAAATTTGAACAATTGAACTCTGGCCTCGAAATTTTTTTACCAAGGCCATGCATAATGTGTAATCTTTAATTTGGATACATATATTTAAAATTAGGCCTATTTTTTTTTTTTTTCCTGAACTATTAGTTTGTTTGTGATGGTAGCCTGTCCCTTGGTGTTTCCTGAAATAAAGGACATTACTAAAGAATGTGGAGAGGTAACGAGTAATCAGACATCCTGCTGCAATGCAATGGATAGTTACTTGTCGCACATGCAACAGCAGAGCTTCATTACAAATCTCCAAGCTTTAAATTGTGCTACATTGCTTGGCAAGAAGTTGCAAGAAGCTAATATTACTAGCAATGTTTTTGACCTTTGCCATGTAAACCTCAAGGATTTTTCTATTCAAGGTTAGCGCCTTTTCTGCATCTTTTCATCCTGCAATGATTTTCTCTAGGCACTGATTAGATTATTGACATTGTTTGGGTGTTCAATTTGTTCGTACTGCTGTGGAACCCTGGATTTCATTTGCCACAATACTGATACACCAGTGGATGAAAAAGGTAATGAATTACTCTAAATTATAGGACTGTCTTTGCATCAACTAGATAGTTTATTTAATTCCCAACAAGCTTGTCTATGTTGAAGCCATGAAATGGCACTCTGTAATCTAATTATATGTTGCCGACTTGCCATATAAAGTAGAAGACTAATGAAAGTAAACCGAGTAGAAATATCTGGTATGATTTGGATTACTAGTTTAATCTTTGATCCTTCAGAAGTATGGGACAAACTTCAGCAGTCTGGAGTTGGTTTATTTGACATGTTGAACTTTATTATGGTTTTTTTTTCCTGGCACATAACATATCATTTGTTGCTTATATACACTTCATCGTCGGGGCATATAATAGTCTTTTATTAGGTACAACATTGTTTAACATATGGAATACATGATATGACAGTCTTAGCTAGGAAAAGCAACACGAACAAATGATGCTTCTCTGATTTCCTTAGTATTTCCTTCTGCTCAACAATTGAATGATATTTATGTCTTTAGAGAATTGCGACTGTCGTGTAGAAACTTTATAATTCAGTGTCATTCATTTTCGTGTTTGACTGGTTATTTTTTGAAATTTACTGTAGAATCGGGATGCCTGTTGCCCAGCTTGCCTACAGATTTAAGATATGACCAGAGTTCAGGAATTGGCTTCATTTGTGATCTTAATGACAATGTGGCAGCTCCTTGGTCCTCAGCATATTCTGTTGCTGATTCTACCTGCAACAAGAGTATGTATGAGAAAACTTTAAAAAAAGATAGAGAAATTAGCTTCTTTTACAATTGCAAAAAGATGTTAGAACTTTCATCTTCCTCTCCTTCTGATTATCCCTTTGTCAAACAAATGTCATTTAACTTTGATAACAACAAAATGAATTTTGCAGCTGTTTCACTTCCAGAACTTCCCAAGGCAACATCCTCTCAGCTCAGTAAAGGTAGTATGTACAATATCTACATTCTTGTAAATTAGCTGTTACTACTTTTGTTTTTGGCTTTAGGCATCCAATATCCTGAAACTCACTGACTCAATTAACACCGGGTAGAATTAGAACGTCACTTATCGAAAAATTTTATTTTGTGTCTCATACAACTGACACTAGTTATATGAGGCATCTTTTTTGTCTCACAATTTTGTGGACCCAGATTTTTGTGGACCCAGAAGTGTAAGATTGGGGTCCACAAATTTGCGAGACAAAAAGGAGCCTCAAACTAATGTAAGTTGTGTGAGACACACAATAAAACTTCTCGTCACTAATCTGTTTTGTCATAAATTTTCTAATGAAAACAGTTATTTCCTGCAAATTTATATCTGACAATATTTAAAATGGGATAACTTGACGGCCCATAATCTGTTGGCAACATATAATAATCATATCTAAATCTGCAAATTTTTATTGCATTTCAGGAATCAGCATCAAAGATATGGTGTATACCCTGATTTTTGTTTCATCAATGGTCATCCAGTTGCTCGTCTAAATATTCTGGATTATTTGAATATTCATCCAAGAACGATACTATACAGCATACATGTATACGACGCCGTTTGTATGTTCCGAAAGAGATCTTAGCACAAGGAGCTCAAATTTGCAGCTCTTACGGGCATTATTTATCTATAATTCATCATTCTCTTTTTTCGTATATTGTTTGTCGCAATAAAAATATTGTACAGAGAAACCTTGGGTTGGCGATGATTGTATATACGTGGTGTATTCACAGTTCAAATCTGTTACTTTTCTTGATCAGTAAACTGAACCTTTTTTTGTTTGATTGACTGTTACGTTAACAGTGACAAAATTCTGGTTTATATACCAAAATTTAGAGAATGATTTGGCAATATTTATTTTTCCATACTCAAGTTCAAACTCGACATCCCTGGTTAAGGGAAGAGTAGTACCATCCACTGCGAGTGCAGTGCTGCCATAATTTGGAAGTTAACTGAATAAAATGTCAACATTATTTTCACTACTAATTACTTACGATTATCAGAATAATACTACACACCCTTATTTAAGCATCTCATCACATCCCTATTAGATTCTACCAACTTTAGGCATGTAATTTTTTTTTTTTAAGTAAATATTTTATATTGTCCAAAACAGAGTGTCACTGCACTTTCTAGCAGCTAGCAAGACATGTAGTGAAGTAGAGATACGAATTCAAGACATGTTGCATTAAGATATACGCTTTTATGCTACTTTACAAGTTTCTTTTTTTTTTTTAATTACAGTCATTTGTCAGAGAGAATTACGAAGTTATTCTATTATAGATCAAACAATGAATACATATAATTGATAAGTACAAAGTTAGTCACATTAAGAGAAAGTGAAAACGATTAGTACACGTTACCTACATCCAAATAGAGCTGAACCCGTGACCCTAATTTTTCTGAAAAGAATCACTGCAAATAATTTTCATCATTATCTATAAAGAGTATTAACGTTAATTTATTATAAACCAAAAATAAACACACATCAAATTTGGAAGACCTGCTGCCCTTTCAAGGGAATCCTCCACTGCCGTGCAGAGAATCTCCCACCTGCTCCTTTTAGCAACATTGAGCAAAATGTTACTTTCTTCTATTAAAAACACATACAACGAATCAAGCAAAAACAAGTATAAAATGAATCGAAGTCTTAAAATATAATTTAATTTGTTGTTTTGACGTTTTAAAGGAAATGGTACACTACATCATTTAGATTGACAAAATTTCCTAGATAAATTGAAATTTTAGATTTAGTATATATTGAATTAACAATTTAAGTTATGTACTCAATCATCAATTGCTGTTTCATAACATTGGAAAAGAGAGTTTTTATTACTAGTACATATTAATATGACCAACTAGGAATAATTTTGGTTGGCATTCTGAACCATTTAGGGAAAAATAATTTTCTATAAAAAGAGTACCAGTAAGTTATGATCAATAGTGTAGTAATAAATTACCCTTGACGTGGTTAAGTTCTAGTAAATTTATATCTTTTGGAAAAAAGCTATATTTATATAATTTATTTTAGTTCCTCATATAATAACGATTTTAGTAAAAAAAAAACATTTAAATTATGAAAACAAAATCTTTTGGAAAACAACAATACCTACCTAATTTACTGTAAACGTTGTTATTTTAGTTCCTCGTATCAATAAAGTTTTTGCTTGAAAACATTTAAACTGTAAAATTAGTATTTCAACATAATCTTTTTCTCCTCTTTGTGGAATTTGCTCTTTTACACAGTTAACACTTAACAAATGTAAATATTACCATTCACCTCCAAAACCATTACAAAATAAAGAGCACCTACGTTCTGAATGCAAACTTTAGGCCTCAACAAAACATAGTAATCCTCTAATTACACTGTATATCCGGAACTAGCCTTCTACATCTCTGGAGTCTATTACTCAAATGGTTACTCAACTATCCCAAATTATCTACTAAAGTCACTTTTCTTTCGTTTGTAACAACATAGTCACTGAACTATGCTTATTGCACTCAGAAGGTCACTAAACTAGATTCTTTAAATTTTGGATTGCCAAATGCCTATTTTACCCTCTAAATTATAAACATTTATCTTCTTTTTATTTTCTTAAACTTTTTAATATTATGAATTTTCCTTTTTTAATTTCTATTATGGATTTGCCTATAGAATAAATAAATATTATTTATAAATTAAAGAAATAAAAAGTATTTAAGCATCTATAATGCTGGAATAACAAAATAATGAGCATAGTAAAAAAATTGATTAGAATAATTTGTTCGTAATAATAATTTTAGTATTGACAACAAAAATTTAAAAAGTTAATTACACAATTGAGAATGAAAGAAAATAAAGGTTGTAAAATATATTCCATGCACGTAATATAAGAATAATTATTTAAAGAAAAGGTATTTTTATGATATACATTATATATTCTTAAAACTTATGCTCAATTATATTATTATGTTTCTACCAACTTTCCGACCACACAAAGTTATGTCAGCGGAAAGCAGGGGACTATCTGTATAGGGTAAGATATGTTATGTTAAGTCGTGCATGGAATATATATAATATAATTGAGCATAATTTTCAAGAATATATAATGTATTATTCTAAAAATACCTTTATTTAAACAATTATTCTTATATTACGTGCATGTCATATATATTTTACAACCTTTATTTTCTTTCATTCTGAATTGTGTAAATAAATTTTTGAATTTTTGTTATTAATACTAAAATTATTATTACGAACAAATTATTCTAACTAATTGTTTTTTACTCTGCTCATTATTTTGTTATTCCAACATTATAGATGCTTAAATACTTTTTATTTTTTTAATTTATAAGTAATATTTATTTATTCTATAGGTAAGTCCCTAATATAAATTAAAAAGGGGAAATCATAATATTAGAAAGTTAAAAAAAAAAAGATAAATATTTATAATTTAGAGGTAGGTATTTGGCAATTCAAAATTTAGAAAAGCTAGTTGAGTGACCTTCTGAGTGCAATAGACATAGTTCAATGACTTTGTTGGTAAAAACGAAAGAAAAGTGACTTTAGGAGATAATTTGAGATAGTTGAGTGACCATTTGAGTAACCAACTGTGACGACCCAAAGGGGTCATCACCGTATTTCCCACTCGCCTTGTACTTCCGAGGCCGTGAAAACCTCACTTGGAGGTTGCCTCGACTTGTGTGTGCAGTCCGGGCGCGTAGCCGGAAAGTTTAAATGTGAATTTGTGAGAAAGATAATAAATTTGATGTTTTGAATTGATTAAGTTTGACTTTGCTCAACGTTTTGGACAAACGGACCCGGACTCGTGATTCGACAGTCCCGGAGGGTCCGTAGGAAATTTTGGGACTTGGGTGTGTGCCCGGAATCGAATTCCGAGGTCCCAAGTCCGAGAAACGAATTGTTGTGTGAAATTGTTTTCTGAAAATAATTAAAGAATTGGAAGGTGTTATTTGTTTAGAAGACTGTGCTGTTGGGCTCGTATTTTGGTTCCGACTCCCAGCACAAGTCTTAAATATGATTTAAGCAATTGGTGTAAAGTTTGGTTAGATTTGGACGTCATTTGACGTGTTTTGAGCTAGAAAAGCTTAACTTAATGTTTTGTGGGAATTGGAGAGAAATTCATGGGTATTGAGACCCAAATTGATGATTCATGATGTTAATTGGGCGATTTGATTGCACGAATGAGTCCGGAGTATGTTTTTGAGATTTTATGTATGTTCGGTTTGGAGCCCCGAGGGCTCGGGTGAGTTTTGAGTAGGTCCCGGGAGGTCTTAGGCTTTAAAGTATCAGGTGTTGCAAGTCCAGGTATTGCAGGCCCCCAGCGCGGCCGCGGTCATTTCCGCGCGGTCCGCGCTGGCAGCCGCGCGGCCGCGGTGCACTTTTGCGCGGTCCGCGTGGCTGGGTTCAGAGGGCCAATGACTCCCAATTCGACCAGCGCGAGCGCGTGCCATATCAGCGCGGTCCGCGCTGGAAGATTCAGAGAGGGGCCTTGGGATTTCATTCAACCAGCGCGGCCGCGCACCAAATCAGTGCGGTCCGCGCTGGATAGGTTCAGAGAATGGTTTCCCCACCCTTTCCTCGGCGCGGCCGCGAGGTATTTTTGTGCGGTCCGCGCCGGGTCTTCAGTACAGTATATAAAGTCAGGATTTTCAGTCATTTTTCACTTTTTCAAAACCCAAAACATAAGAGGCGATTTTCCAAACGATTCTACTTCTTCAAAACGATTGGTAAGTGATTTCTAACTGATTTTCTATACTCCTTAACATCCTTAATGATAATTTCAACTTCAAACCAAGGATTTTAATGGGGGAATTTGGGAATTTAGGGTAGAACTAGGGTTCCTAAATTTGGGGGTTTTGGACCTCAATTTGAGGTATCATTCCAAAATAACTTATATATCTGAATTCATGGGGGAATGGGTAATCGGGTTTTGGTTCGAACCTCGGGTTTTGACCACGTGGGCCCGGGGGCATTTTGGGAATTTTTGAACAAACTTCGGGAAATTCATTTTCATGCATTCAAATTGATTCAAGTAGCATTGTTAATACCTTCAAGTAAATTCGAGCGGTTTGGTGGTGAATTCGAGGGGTAAAGCTATACTAGAGGATTGAGTTGAGTTTGGAGCATTCGAGGTAAGTGTTTGATCTAACTTTGGCTTGAGGGAATAGGATTAGAGTGTTGTTTGCTAATTGCTAAATGTGAAGTACGGTGTATAGGCATGGTGACGAGTATCTATACACCGGTGTCTAGCATGACCGTGGGTCCTTGTTTGTACTTATTCTGATATTGTTATGACTCTTCCATGTTAATTGATGAATTATATGCAATGTGAAGAGTATGAGGATTAAGTATGAATTGTAAATTCTTTGGAGTGTTGGCTCAAACGATAAAAAAAAAAGACTATTGAGTAAGAAATGAAAGAAATAGAAAGAGATATGATTAATCCCTTGCCGGGATGGCTTGAGTATATTGATTATCTCCCTTGCCGGGATATGGAAGTTATTGTTGTTGCTCCCTTACCGGGATTTAGCTGTTTAATTGTGTATTTCCCTTGCCGGGACACTTCTTATTATTTGTTATCCCCTCGCCCCGTTCGGTTGTGACTACTGTTTGGGTGAGGAAGAGTGATAATGCACGAAGGGTCATTCCGTGCCATGTTTGATTATATTTGCACGAAGGGTCATTCCGTGCCATGTTTGATTACATTTGCACGAAGGGTCATTCCGTGCCATGTTTGATTATACTTGCACGAAGGGTCATTCCGTGCCATGTTTTTGA